CGCCACCCAGCCCCACGGTCAGCCCACCCGCCTCGGGGACCGCCACAGCTGGACGGCGTTACACATCCCTCCTGGTCATGGTGGCTTTTATCCGAGGTGCTCTCTGCTGCAGGGAGATGGGTGGTGGGTCCTGGGCCACCCAAGGGATGGGTGATGGGTCCAAGGCCACCCTGGGCATGAGTGATGGGTCTTGGGACCTCCAGGAGATGGGTGATGGGTCTCAGGACCTCCAGAGGATGGGTGATGGGTCTCAGGACCTTCAGGGGATGGGTGACGGGTCTTGGGACCTCCAGGAGATGAGTGATGGGTCTCAGGACCTCCAGGGGATGGCTGTCAGACTATCCTAGGCACAGGTGATGGGTCTCAGGCTCCCCAGGAGATGGGTGATGGGTCCCAGGACACCCAAGGGATGGGCGATGGGTCTCAGGCCACCCTAGGAATGCACAATGTGTCCCAGACCACTCTAGGGACAGGTGATGGGTCCCCAGCCACCCCAGGAGGTGGGTGATGGGTCTCTGACCACTCTAGGAGATGGATCCCAGACTGCTTGTGGGTGCTTGTGGTCGAGGCCAACCCATACATGGCTGTGTGGTCCCCACACATGGGGCCCCTTCCCACATGGCCACCAAAGCACAGCAGCAGCTTTGCTCAGTGCCCTGGAGATACTGAGCACTCTCCAACCCAAACAGGCTCCCATGGGAGGGGCGGGGGCTCCCACCTGTGGCGGGATGATGTCGAAGAGGTCCCCACCGGGGGCATACTCCTGAGCGAAGACGTAGCAGTCCTCAGTCTCGAAGACCACGTCAAAGACTTTGATGATGAAGGGGCTGGAGGAGAGCGTATTGGTGATGCTGAACTCCCGCAGGAAGTTCTTCAGCTTTGTCTTGCTCTTGTTGACGAACTTTAGGGCCATCTTGGTGCCTGTGGTGGGCAGGGGATGGAGATGAGCCTGAGGGGCAATTGGGACACGCCAGGTACCCTGTCCCCAGCACAACCACATCCCCTGTGTCCCCCCCCAGCTCTCCTCACCTGTGCTTTTGTGGGACACCAGGTCTACCTTGCCGTAGGTGCCTTTGCCGAGCTCGCGGATGAGGTCGTAGTGCTTGCTGATGTCGGTGCCCGAGAGGGTGCGGATGGCCAGGGACTGCATGTCCTCGGTGATGAGGGGCACCCCGCAGCAGGCCAGCTTGCGCGACGGCTCTTGCTCAATCGAACCCGCGCTCATGGCTGCGCTGCAAGGCAGAGGAGCATCACCGCTTTCGTTGGGTGCTACAAGGCCACCGTGTCCCATCCCTTGGGGACTCGGTGG